CAGAACAGAGTGAAACTGTCATGGAATATATATGCACTTCACGTTGTGAAACAGATGAGTTATGAAGGGTCTTGTTCGATGGTCTCAGGGGTTCCGATCAGCAGTGGATTGATTTGGGTTATTTACTTTATTTAGGCGTTGGTCGCTTTGATGTGGGACTGACTGGACGCTAGGCACCCAATCTTAAAACACCTTGTAGATGAGGCAGGGAGTGCGTTCCTCTACCTGGTCCGGAATGCGGACGCATGTAGCCAAAGCGGTGGATACAGCCGCGCCCAACAACCATTGCCCGTGCCAAATTGTCCATTGCGGGTGTAAACCTCAAGCCTTCGTCGGGCCCAAACCAACCGGATCTGGAATAGGAAGGCGAACATCGGCAGTCTGGGGTGCAGCCCAGCTGAGAAGGAATTAGGGAGAGAAACAGCAAGAAGCAAACGACAAATTCTAATCAAGGAGGGTGCTTAGGTTATAATACTGGTAAAAGTGTGTTGTCAAAATATGTCTAGTTCTACAGATCCAAACTGGAGTTTGATACGCGTAAGAGTAGAACATCAGTTGGTAGAGTAGACACAGCTACCTGTTTAGCAAGTACCACGTAGGGGAGCCAATGGAGTTAGAGGAAAACCAGAGCGGATGGATAAGAAATAAGGAATATTGGGTCAGAATACTTATAAAAGTATGTACCAATGTATGTTGTGTTCCACAGATCCAGCTTCGAAGTTGGATTCGTGTACTGATGTTAAATTTGTTGAGATAACCGCGAATCTATGTCGAAAGAAGACCGAGCAGCCCTGACTGTCGTCACCGAAACGGCACAACACAACGGAATCCAATTCGAAGTGCCGTTACCCTGGCGAACTGGAGCCAATCGACTGCCAGACAATCGAGATATAGCACTCCACAGGCTCAAATACCTGAAGGGTCGATTGAAGAGGAACGCGCAGTTAAAGGAAGCCTACTGTAACGCCACAAAAAGCAATCTAGAGTTGGGATATATCGAACGCGCAATGGCGGAAATCGAGAAGGAGCAACCATTGTGGTACCTTCCGTACCACCCTGTCATAAACCCCAAGAAACCTCAGAAGATCCGGGTTGTCTTCGATTGTGCTGCCAAGTGTGCCGGGATTGCCCTAAATGACCGTCTATTACAAGGCCCAGACCTGACTACTCCGCTGATTGAGGTGCTGTGCAGATTCCGTCTGGGGTCAGTTGCAGTAGCGGC